ACTGGATTCCATGGCTCTAGTGGCTGAATGGTCGATGTGTTCGCCACGTAATCTGAAGGCCCCAAGGTTCAATCCACAGTGAGTTATGGGTGCCTACTGCTGTAAAGTTCCAAACTAGGTCGAACTATATATCCAGTACCGCGTGGTTTTCAATGGTTCCCTATAATTAATATCGATCCGTGGTCACAATTAAAACAAGTCAAATCCCTACAAACTACCTCTTGAAAACCACCTATATATCTGCCTACGTGACTCAAACCAAGACAGGCTTCATAGATTGACTCCATATTATGGATTGACCAACTCTAATTTTTCTGGGAAGGTGATGGCTTGATATGTGTAACATTTATCCCAGTACAATTGGAGGAAAAATTCCCACTTTGTTGACCAATATATGCTCCTTCACTAAGATTTTACATCCAATCTCAATATTACTTCATAAGTGCTTCTATTCCATATAAGTGATCGAAAGAATGTCTGTCTATCTGTCTGTCTTCGACATGGAAATTTGCACATATGTGCGGCAGCTCAAGTCGCCACACTCCATGTAGCACACAAAGCAAGAGAAGAAAGTAGGAGAAATGCATGATATAGACAGTAAACAGAGGTGTGGGACAAAGGTATAGTAATAACGAAGAACAAAACAGTTTCATTGGAAATCATAAGTCACAAGGAGTGGATGCATCTGCGATACCCACTGAGAACGATTTTGAGCCATATCACCAATTGTTTCCAGCCTTCATTGGTTTTTACCATCCCGAGGATCCCAAACAGGAAGTCCACACCTTCCTACGTGGCTGGCTTAGACTAACTGTTGTAGATTTCATTGACTGGTGCCATGTTTTCGTTTGACCGCCGCTAGCTCTTTTCCAGCCTGACCCTATATCAGCTAACATTGCCCATTGTCGAGGAAGGCGATGACTAGGCATACGTAACACATGTCCTAACCATCTCAGTCGATGTAATTTCACAGTCTCGTCGACTGATTTCCCCTACTTACCTAGCACTCGACGCCTAACCTCAATATTGCTCATCTTATTATACCACTTCACACGGGAGATAGAACACAGACACCTATGATCAAAGACAACTAATCTTTTCATCTCTTCCACTCTCGATCGAAAGAATATATCTATGGTATGCACAAATACATTGATTATCATTTCATCAGCTCCGAAACAGATAGACAGAGAGTGGATCAACACACAGGACCTAGAATTACTATTCTACGGTTGAAGTTATTACATGTTATGTAAAATAGAGATGAGAATAATATTTTAAAAGAGGATTGAATTATGGAGAAACTAACTGTTCATTGGTTAACGTGGTCAAACAAGGAATTCAACTAGTGACGATTGGAAACCAACATTGGATCATCAACTTTTCCATAATAATGTACAGCTTATTAACAGGTATGTTAATATACACATAGTTTTCAAGTACTGGTTTTGTAGGGATTTTGTTCCATTGGTTGGAGGATTTCGTCATGAGCTGACCGGTTAGAGAACCATTGCAAAGCCTGAGAGTACTGGACAGCCTAGTTTGGGACTTTTCATCAGTACACAACCACTGCCAGGGTGCGAACCCAGTACCTTCTTGTTACGAGGCTTATCGAGCTCGTAGATCATTAAGCCACTCGGACCCATTCCAAAGACTAGCCCATGAATTCTAACTTCTGCCAGTTCATGACATAACGCGACCACTTAGCAATGTCTTCTTCGATGAGTTACTGCATCACCTTCAACCTGCTGTATCCCACTGGTCACGGCTTCCTATATAGTAGGGTGATTTTCTTTGTGCTTTCCTTGGGGGCATTTGGTTTGATAGGTTGGCTTGGGGGTATATGTTTTTTGTGAAATTCCGTGGATATCCATTCTTTTGGAAGACGTCCATGAGATATCTTTCTTCAATTTTCCTTAAGGTGGGAGTGGTGCAATGAGTCTTGGCCCTGTTGAATAGTGTTTGCATACAATTCATTTTGTGTGTAACACGTACTCCCACATTCAGGAAAACTGAAGATAATCTCATGAACGTCTTCCAAAAGAATGAATATCCAGGGAATTTCATCAAAAAACATATACCCCCAAGCCAACCTATCAAACCAAAAGCCCCCAAGGAAAGCACTAAGAAAATCGCCTTACCGTATTATAAAGGACATCTCAGAAATCACTGTAAGACTCTTTAAACCTCTAGGAATCGACGTCGCAAGCAAACCAACAAAATCACTTCACTCAGCTGGCTCTATGTCAACCAAAAGACTCAACAACGAAAGAAGATAAAACCAACATCATCTACCAAATAAACTGTAACAACTGCGAAAAACACTGAATTGGTCAAAGTGGACGTCTCCTTCGTCTTCGTATCCACGATCATACGCTAGCCATCAAAAGACATGATATCCACTCCTTCATATCATTACATACAGACAACGACGGACATAAATTCGACTGGGACAACCAGCGTTCAAATATTAGACAGAGGAACGACCAAGAATGCTAGAGAATTTTTAGAAGGCTGCCTGGTATTCCAGTGATTGGTCAATCAATAGACACATCGAGATAGACAAAATTTACCAATCCATAAGAAGGAAATCTCACGCACAAAGAATCAAAGTTCAAGTTAAGGAAACAATCAGTTCCAATATAAGTAGCTGCCTAGAGGGTGTGAAAACACACAAAAGCAACTAATCACTTTCAAGGTGACTGGGAGAGATGACTCACAAACTAAACCCGTGGAGAAATCTAAAAGCTCACTTCAACCAATTGAAGTATGCGCTGAAGATGTCGCCTAGTAGAGCGATGAAAGCTTCGCAAATTAACTACCCGGCTCAGAGAACACAACCACATCAAAATCATCCACCTGAGCTACAAATCTTCTCCATCATATCTAATATACATAGTTGTTGAATAACGCTTTATTTTCATTTATTGAAATGAGTCACTCATAGAACCTAAGAAACCTGTTGTTGTTCCAAAGTATGACTGAGTGATACTGCCTTGACTATAATACACCCCCAAGGAACAGGACACTGTAACCAACTGATAAATTGAAGTTATCTCCAACACGAAAATAAACACTAAAATGAGAGTTTTTAAAAAAACAGCCATCGAGTCAACAACAACAACAACACAACCGTAACACAATGGATGGTGTCTTTTAGCCCACTGAACCTCAGAAAATTAAGCCACAAATAAACAAATCACGTCAGTACATGTAAAAATTATGACTTCACAACCGACAAAAAGCTTATCCATCCATCCTAACATTCTAGTAAACATATGATATTTTCTTAACGTGGCTATGACTAACATGTTTTTATAAGGCATAATGAAAACAATTAGCTGTCCAAACCTTTGTGGGCGTAGGATAGGGTACAAGCCCAATGTTCTTAAGCAACCAAAAAGAAAAACGAAGACGAGGGTCTTGAACTCATGATCCAAGATTTCAAAAATCAGAAGCTCAAACCAATGTGCTGTACCCCTGAATGGAGCAAGTCTAAAGCTAAATCTTAGCCTTTAAAATCAGAATGTATATACTAAAAAAACCATAAATTAAATTTGAAAACTTGAAAACTATTAACGTGTTCAAAAACAAAGTAGTACAGGCGTAATTCCATATTGGTTTGTTTATTATATATGTCTCACATAGAAACAGTATTATTTACTGGATGACAATGTTTCGAACAAAATTTATTATTCATAATTATATCATCAATTATAATCACACGACTTCGAAACTTGAGTTTTATAGTTTTATTTGTTCTTTCCTATTTTTTGTCGCAGGGGTAGTAGAATTTTCCAGATATCTGGGACAGGTGTTGAATCATTCCTATTACATGTATTTGCAGTTGATTCGATAAACAAAGCTTCTGTTATCAATCTCTGCCTCCACCCTGTGCCATTAGATTTTAAAACTGTCATCTTATCCCATCCACCCTATTGTACGGTTGTGTAATTGCATGTAGTCAGTGCTATAGGTGAACTATCCTGTTCTTCACATTTCTTATCTTATTCGGGTCAACTAATCTAGAATTTGCTAGGTTTTTATGCTCTACTAGTGTGACTCACTGACCCTGTTCTACTATCATTACAGGCAGGGTATTAGATAAACTAAATTGTTTTGTTTTAAAGGCTCCACAGGATGGATCCTTTAACCGACAAAGCTTGTTTCTAATTGAGTTTGTGGGTTTGAATGCCACTTTTATTTCTGACTGCCTCGTTAAGAATTCTGCGTAAAGTGGTTTCCGAGGTTCCTTCCTTGTATGGAATTACTACTGATGATTTAGATTCCTTATTGTTGATGTTGTCATTATCCTGTGCATGTTTGACATACATGTCGTCATTAATATTACTATTATCATCACTATCACAGCTTTTATTATTTATTCTAATTTTACATTTCCCTACATACTTTCTGACAAATTTACCAGGGTAATCATTAATTAAGTTTCAAAGCTTCTCTTATATGCCTCACTTCCTGCCTTAAATTCTCCTTGGTACTGCTTAGTTTTTGTGTCCTATTTCTTAGATATTTCACCAATCCTAATTTTACTGACATAGGATGGGATGATAGGAAGTCCAGATGTCTGTTTGAATGTGTGGGTTTCCTGTAAACACTATTGTGTTTAACTTCCCATCTTCTTTCCTTTTTACGCTACAATCTAACATTGGAAGTTCCCCTTCCTGACTTTCCAATTCACAAGTGAATTGGATTGGATGTTTTCGAAAAATCTATCTATATCCTGTGTTCTAAGTACAGTGAAAGGTGTCATCTGCATGCCTCCAACATACTTTTGGGGTGGGGGTGAACGTTTCAATCGCTATGCTTGCCCACCTATCCATGTTCGAAACTGTGTCATCCAGTAAATAATACTGTTTCACTGACTGTGTGATACATCTAATAAACAAACTAATATGGAATTACTTACTACCACAGTGCCCAAGTTTTACACATATATTAGTACAAGCGTAAGTTCACTGTTTTTTTCTCTCTCTACTTACCCCAAGAGTATCATCACCACAGATTTGAACACGTTGAAATTCTACAGCTGCTGATTCCAAGTGTGCCTCAGCGGCTACTTCAACTTCTTGTATAACAGGAGCTACATCAGCATACATGCTAGATCCAGGTGTTAAATGCATTGCTAGACCATCATTAACTGTAGCCGGTACACTATGCAACCGTCGAACAATAGAACCACCTCCACCAGGCTGATCATTTTGATATTGGAAACCACCACCACCACCTTGAGCTAGTCTTGACTGGATACGATTAGTAAATTCCAAAGATGATGGTGCATTAGTGCTTGAAGTAGAGAAACTAGGTTGAGCACTACGTTCTTGAGCGAATTCTTCAGGTAGCTGAGACAGACAGTCGCATGAATCTTCTTCTGCATTCGTCTTATCATTTTTACCCAACAATATTCCACAAGTATGATTCTGTTTATTACTACTCACAGATTCTGCTGATCCATTTATCGCATTGCTCGTAGAATTGTAATTATCCAAACCAAAAGCTTTCAGCGCAACTGACTCGCGGTTGTCTTCACTAGTATTCACTTTGTAATCACCATCCATAGTACTAGCTGATCTAAATATATTTGAGATATATACAAAGTAGAAATAAAATTAAAACAAAATGTTCAGGAACTATTTATACAGTGAGGAATAGATCAAACTTTCCTAAGTGTATTTGTATTGGGCGTTTACACACACACACACACGCACACTCACATACACAACTGTAAGTTTGCTTTTCAATTTTGGTAAGCATTTAGAGTAAAATCACCACACCGGGTTACACCCGCTGTCTGACTTTTTTCTTTTATTAATTTAAAGTCATTGACAGCATGAATAGTGTCATGAAGACAAAAAAACAAAACAAAAATTGGGGGATATAAGAATAAAACTTGGGCACTGTGGTAGAGTGTTATTCCATTATGGGTAAATTTTATTTTGATAAAGTCTCACAGTGTTGTTATACAGTAATGTTTACTGATGACGACGTTTCGAGCACAATTTATTGCTGCTCATAATCATATCAAGGTAATCACACGACTTCCTAAATTCATTTATATAGTTCCCTTGTTTTTCACTTGATTTTCACTTGATTTGATTGGTAGTATTATTTTCCATATTTCAGGTATGAGTGATGATTCATTCCTATTGCATGTGTTGGGTGTAGATTCGGTGAACAAGGATTCAGTAATCAACCACTCTCTCTCTCCACTTACCTAGATTACTTTTTAGAATTTTAACCCTCTCCCACCATGCTATTGTGTGGTTGTGTGCTAATGCTTGCATTGCAATTGCTGAGCTTTTTTCTAAATTACTTATCTTCTCTGGGTCAACCATTCTTACCTTAGCTAAATTCTGACAATGTTCTGATAATCTGACTACCACTGACCTACTAGTTTGACCTATGTAATTGACCTCAAAGTCATTGCAGGGTATTTTGTAAATTATATTATTTTTTTGTCTTATTGGGTCAACCAACAGGGTCCTTTAACCTACAGAGCTTGTCCCTGAGTGAGTTTGTAGGTTTCAATGCCACCAGCCTAATTCCTGCTTTATTTAGAATCCTACGTAAGGTCTCAGATGTCCCCTCTTTATATGGTATAACTGTAGATGACTTATATTCTCTCTTGTTTATATTATTATTACTAGTTTCACAATTATTTTTATTTTTATTTTGGCCTTTTTCAATCTTCCTAATGAATTTTAAAGGATAGTTATTGGGGGAAATTTAAGGAACTTTCAACAAGCTTATGTGACTGACCATGAGTAGCAGTGTGCTGCTAAAAATACCTACCAAAATTAAAAGTTATGAGAGTGTATGTAAACAGTCATTATAAAAATAAGTACACACATATTAAAACGGGGACAATCTATTTTCAAAACGAAAAAACAGCTCAATCCGAGTTTAATTGTAAAATTAGTCATATAAACAAGTTAAAAGATGATAACTAATATCATTCTACGTCATATATAATAAACAGCTGCTATCATGCCATCCAATTCACATCGGAATCACACGTGAACTCGGTGGCACAGCGGTTAGGACTCTCGCACATGATCCGGGATTCGATCCCCGGCCGACGCACACCTGATATCAATGGTAGGCCCGATAAATTTGGGCTACCGATATCACATGCTGAAAATTCCATACTTGTACCGAAATACTGTGTGGAATCAAGCTATTCTCAAAAAAAAATTCCAATTTTTTGGATGTTTTTTTCCAAAAATGAGATCTGATGGTTCTCTTCAAAGAATGATCTACAGGAAACCAATGTGGAATGGTCAGTACACGAATCTTCATAGTTGGGTCCCCTGGAGAAAAAAGAAAAACCTGATCCACTCATTATCCTCAAGAATAAGAAGGATATGTTCCAGTGATACAATCGACGGGGAATAGGGGCGACTAAGACAAGTCCTCATAGAGAATGGATATCTTATAAGATTTATCGAGAAAAACATGAAGGTAAAGCAAAAGCCTGAAAGAACCAAGACGGTGCCGAAGAAACTGCTATTTATGAGCGTTGAATTTAAAGATGATACCGCAACTAAGATCCTGAACAATCGCTTATGCAGATCAGTGAGGAAAGCCTTCTTAACGTATCAATTTCTACAGCCGACAAATGATCAATGGATGTGTGAAGGATAAACTGCTGCTTCGGGCCACTTTAATGTGTGTTTATAAATTCACCTGCTCGTGTGGAGCTAGTTATATAGCCGCACGAAGCGTACACTTTTCAAACAAAGCATCTGTGAACATTATCCGGCATGGTTAGTGAAAGGAGAGTGCAAGACAGTTACTAGCTAAGTTCTCAAGCACGTAGTGAAATTAAGCCATACAGCTTTTTCACCACAGTCATCTTTCAAGGCGAAGGCGCTGGCAATTCTTCAATACAACCCCAAACTCTGTATACAGGAAACGTTTGTCCAGTCTCTTATTCTACCTTGGTCTTAAGCTCTTCACTAGTCGTTCCCTGTAAAAAAAAATTTTAATTTTTTTATTTTCAATTTTACTTTAAGTTCGCTCTTACTTTAATAATTAATTCACTATAATCACTCTCTCGCATGTTCCTTTTGTACTTTTTCTCACCCTCTTCACACTTGTTAAATTGACACTCAACTATCTTTATTCTCACTCAATAGCAATTTTAACCTTATCAAATTTCTAAATTTTTGCCGTCCAGTACCACGTAATTTACAAGTTTTATTTTTAACTTCTAAAGCCACTTCTGAGTAATTATATCAATTATGTCACCCCCTATTACTCAATAATAGACTACTATACATTTTTGGTAAATATAATTACAGCTTCTGAAGATGATTTCGTCGATAAAGAAAATTCTCTTCGCTGAATTTGTCTTTTATTTTCATCCTGAACAAATCTAATAAGGAAAACTCAGCGAAACCCTTAAAGGGAAGACAAGAGTAAAATAAGGCTTTTGTTTACTATCACTGGTGGTATTCCCAATTGTGGCTGAATATCAATCAACAGACTGTGGGGTGTGAGAAGACATGAATATGCTTGACCAGCAACAAAAGACTCTAGAGACCTGGACTTCAAGGATGATTTATGTGTAATATCAGGCAAACTTGTAAAATCTGCAAGAGGAAACCAAGAAGGTGGCTGAAGAAGCAGAGAAGATAGGACTTCAAGTGAACATAGAGAAGACAGAGATAATGAAAATACCTACATAAAAACAACAGGGATAATGATAATAAAATGGAATTGTATTCTACTGCAATAAATAGAACTAAAGGTGGGGTAATCTACAATCCAGAAAGACGTCCACAACAAAGTCAAACCAATTTTCACGTACTACTTAATGTTGAAAGCCACATGCGGCTAAGTGAAGTTAAGGAGAAGAAAGGAAATTTTAAAACATCAAAATAAAGAATCCCTTAGATCAGTGCAACAATCAGGCTTTATATGAGGAAGAGGGTGTATTGATCATATGTCCACCCTTCGACAGATTTTGGAACATAGGCATACTTACTAGTGTCTAACAATAATATTTCTTGCTTGACCTGAAAGCAGCAATCGATTTCATCGACTGAGAGGTACTATGGCAATGTTCCGCTGTGAAGGGATTACCGGGAAAATAAATCGCACTGATCAAGGCACTTTACTTGAACTCATGCAGCCAGGTGAGAGCTTACGGAGAGTTGTCATCTGAAGTGGTGACAACCAGTGGTGTTCATCAGGGACGCCCACTGTCTTAATTTGTGTTTAATTTCACAATAGATGTACTAATGGAATTAACCCTTACTGACTGAATTCAGTGACTCAGGGATTGACTTGTTACCAGGAAATAATCTCGCTGACTTATAATATGCAAGCAGTCACTCTAAGTGAAGACTCTGACAGAATGCAGAGTCTTCCCAACACCTTGAGCAGCAACCTTCGACTGTGTCATGCGATTCGCTCACATCAAATGCAAGACGATGCTACAAAACTGGACTACATTGCCTCCTAGCTTAAAGAAATGGGGGGAGTGAAGTGGTGGCTGACTTTGTCGACTACCTCACTTATTTGGGGAGTTGCATCAGCCAACGGCGGTGGGTTGATCGCTGACGAAATCTCAGCACGAATACAGTAGGCTCGTTTTTTATTTGCCAACTTACACCATTTCCGGCGTAGACTTGATGTACGACTGTCAATCACAGGCCGTGTCCACTACTCAGTAGCAATTTGCTCCGTCCTTTTCATTGTGAAGCATGGCCATTGAAAATGGAAGGCATGAGACGTCTGGTTAGCTGCCTTTGATAATAGATGTCTGTGTCCTGTCTCCAGTGTTTGGTGGTATAATAAGATCAGTAATGATGAGGGTAGGCATCACTCAAGTGCTAGGTAAGGAGGGGAAATCAATCGACGAAGTTGCGAGGTTAAATCGATCGAGATGACTAGGACATGTGTTACGCATGCCTGGCCATCGCCTTCTTCTACAGGTGATGTTAGCTAACATACGATGAATCAGGTTGGAATAGTGCTGGTCAAACCAAAGTATGTTTTCATCAGTCAATGAAATCCACAACAGTTAGTTTAAGCTGGCCACGTAGGGAGGTGTAGACTGCCTGACTGCTTAGAGTCCTCCGGTTGGTAAAAACCAATTGCTGGAGACAATTGGTGTTACAGCTTAAAGTCTCAATGGCTCAGATACATCCACTCCTTGTGACCTACAATACTCAATAAAACTATATTGCTCTTCTATATCACTATTCTTTCCTGTTTTGAAAGGGTGAAAATGCTTAATGGGTTATGAATATAAAAGAAAGATGTCCCATGATTAATGAAAGATCGGCCAAAAAACAATAAACAGGCGAGAAGAGTTATAAGCCAGAAATCGCGAACTTATTTTCACTAGTTAGACTAAATCGTAATCTCAATGTTAAAACAAGTCACTATTATTATTATTATTATTATTATTATTATTATTATTATTGTTTCCTTTAGTTCCTAGAGGAACATAGGGCTTCAGCCACATGTCTCCATTGCGTTCGGTTCTCCTGGCTCCACATCTGCCCACATGCTTTCATCTCCTCAACAAGTCATGATGGGAACGACTTACAAGGATGTATCAAATAACTCATTTGACCTGCAAACTTTCGGCGTATCTTAGATTAAACTTAAAGATGCAAGCTTTCATGTTAGAGTATGTTTGAGTGAACAAGGTCGAAATTAGTAAAACAGCAAGGGTTTTTAGATGAGAATAACGGAGTATGATTCAAAAGACAAAAACCCAACAGCATTTCATAGAGCAAAGGTTTATACAAAGTGCAGTGTTTACTCGGCATACATTAATACCTTTACACTGCAATACGCTGCAAGATATTTTTCCTAATGCATAATAAAAGCATTTTAAAAGGCTGCATATTTCTGAAGAATACTAAACATTGAAATTCACTAACCTGGCTAATTTAAATTCTAATATATGCTCCTCCATTTCTTTTCTTTCAATTGGAAACTTAGGCATCACATATTCTGGACCCGTTTGTTTGAATAGTGGATAAGCGCCTTCACGACCTCTTTGCTTAATATTTTCAGTTAATTCATTGAGTTTGTGATCCATGTTTGAATGACTAACTAACAAACTTAAACACCAAATAAAGTATAAAAAGACAGCACATTAATAAACAACAAATAAGATATTTTATCAGCTACAAGTCACTAGTGAGTAGACGTGTCTGACTCGCATTTATCTAATAATAATGTGATAAAATAATCAAACTTCTAGTGCATGGCAAAGATGAATTAGCTAGTAACAACATTTCGTAGTGCAGCAAATAAAAATACTTATCATTAGTCAGCAATTCAAGAGCTGGAACTCGTCTATCAGTCTAAGGAAATTAGGTGTACCCAGTTCTACTCTAAGACTAACCGAGGTAACCCCGTCTCATACTTCTGCTCAATTTACTATTAATAGTAATTCACTTGTCATTACTTTAGGCATAGTCATACTTAACACGAGATTCGAAATATGTCAACAAATTTTGTAGAACCCGTCAATATTTTGCAGAATCTCCCAGATTCATCCTCGATTAACTTCTCCGAACAAAGGCCATTAGTATGCTAATGCGACTATATGCTAACCAAATGCAATAATTCCAACATAAAAATTAAAACTGACGGAATCTGAAGTTCGAGATCACACAAAGGAGCTTCAAATAGATTGAAATGATTTGAAACCACAACTAACACTTTGATGTTCGCCTCAGTCAAAGTAAAGGGTTTGACGTCAACAATACCTTTCCACCTGTTATCCCCTTTATCCACATACGAAGGTGTAAAACCAGTGACTATGCATAAAACAACAGCACCTACTCTTATAATACATACAAAATGAACGGTTGAAATCCAAACAACCAAAAATACTTCTACACCCAACCTTGAACGGACGAACAAAATTCATGCGAAGAAACAAACTTAGGTTACACAATGAATTCATTACAAAACGTCAAACAGTAAGCTTGAAATTTCACCAGTTATTATATTAATTGTTATTTAAACATTTATGGAGTTTAAATATAGATTATCATCTGCAGATGTTTGTGTAATGTTGGATTTAAACTTCATTGATTGATATTCATGTTTATTGATTGAGGATAGAAGGCTTGAAGCCTATGTTAATTCTTTTCTAGTAAATTTCTGTGCTTGCCCAAACCCTTGATGAATGAATCAGTTGAGGTCGCAGTCACCACTTCTTCTGGGAGTCGGTTCCAAGAGTGTATGACTCGGTGTGAGAACCACTACTCAACAGCAATATGATTTCTTCCTGGTTTTTGAACGCTCCTGCTATGTCCTATAAGGTGTTCTGACCTGGTCGGAAGGAAGAGAGAATGAGTCAGGTCCGAAGCCATTATTTAAAATTTTAAACATTGTAATTAAATCTCCTCTCTGCCTACGGTATGACAGGGAGAAGAGATTTAAACTGTCTAGTCTTTCCTCGTATGACAAGTCACTGATGTAGTGTACCATACGTATTTCCTTCCTTTGAAGCCTTTCTAGAATGTGTGAGTCCTCTTTTAGACAAGGACTGGCGGCCTGCATGCAGTTTTCCAGTCTTGACCTCACCAGAGATGTATATAAGGAGGTGAACATATCTCTGGTGATTCTAGTAAAGACCCTGCGGATTTCCCATAAGGATCTGAAACTACGTGCAGCCATCGCGTGACAGTGTGCTGTAGTTTATAAATCGAGGATAACCATGACACCCAAATCCAAATGAGTCTGAACTGATGGGAGTGTTATTCCCTCTAGTTCGTAGGAGCTGATGCTTGCGTGTCCGATGCGCATGGTTGCACATTTCACTACATTGATAGGGAGCATCCGTTCTCTGGACCACTCTGACAATTCTCTGAGGTCCTCTTGCAATACGAGCGTATCACTGTTGCCTTTCAGGTACCTCCAAATTTTTAAATTATCTGTGTGTAGGACCATAGGGAAATTGGTGAGTAGAGATAACTCATTGATATACAAAATAAATAGGAGAGGTCCGAGTACCGTGGCTTGTGGCGCTCCGGTACGCACTGCTGTCTAAGAGGAGAGTTTCAAGTTAGTCCTAACCCCCAGCCTCCAATCTATGAGGAATTTCCTAGTCCAGTTCAGTAACCTCCCTTTCATACCAAGACTTTCCAGCTTCATGAGTAGCCTTTTGTGAGGAAGTTTATAAAAGGCTCTGCTGAAGTCTATGAAGACGACGTCAACGGGTCTTCTGTTGTCCCTTGATTTGAACCAGCTGTCTTTTGCATTGAGGAGCTGTGCTATGCTCTGGATAACAAATTATTGATTTCCAGATATCACGGAACATACACATTGGATCATAGGAATTACTAAAAAGACGGTTGCAGTGAAGAAAATTTTCTTTTCGATGAAATCATTAACCAGGCTGTACATCTGTGTATTTATGATGAATGGGTGGGAAAGTTCCAGAATAATTTCCAGTTAACGGCCAAGTTGATAAAATTACAATTAGGAATTAAAATGTCGTAATGAACAAAGGGATGGATAAAACTCGAACAAAGTAGCACCATAATCACTGAAAAGATTTACATATTGTGCAGTTGGGGGTAAGAAATGTAGAAATAACAAAAATAGACAGGATGTTTGGATAAAAAATATAGTTGGATCATAACCAATGTGACGAATAATTGTTTCCAGATATGCAATGATACTTTTCTTGATGATTCTTTCCAGTGGCTTGATTAGAGTGATGGTAAGACCAATAGACCTGTAATTTGAAGGTCATAGTCAGTATGCCGGCTATGTGAGCTGATAGCCCCTTGAGAAGCCTTGGTTGAAGATTATCAGGACCCACTAATTTCCCTGCATCTAGTTCCAGTTATTCAACGTTCAGCGACACGATTTGCTAATGGTAAACCAGGGTTATATATTGCTATCCTACTTAAGTAGTCAACAAGAATTCTGTTGACCTAATATGGTTTGGCTTGATGAACTGAGTCTAATTCGACGAATCTAAACGATTTACACGGTCTTCCAACTTTTTGGCCACCTTCATTTGGCCACTGAGCATTGGTTGATGTGAAATGGTTTCCGAGTCAACACGAGAATCAGCAGGACACCATATTGCTGCCTAACCAAAAGTCTCATACTGCTTGTCTACATTCTTGAATAGGGAGCAAATTGGAAGTTTCAGATGTCATTTATTTAAATTATGTGTTGCGTTTCGGAGCATAAATGAAAGTTTAGTTGGGGTGTTTAAGGGTCAGTCACAGCTCATGTGAACCCAATGGATATTTAAATATAAACAGGGAACATTTTGTAAATAATGAAACATCAGACGGAAACCATGATGCGTTTATTTAGAATACAGTGAGTAGAATATTTAGTTTACATTATATGGGTGGATAAACGTTAAATTTTACTCCGAATTTCATAGAAATACATCCAATATCCAATATCGTTTTTACGAGCTAGTATAGACCAATTTGATTTCTTTGTGCTCGCCTCTTGATTGTGAGGTAGAGGCTCCTGATCTTTGGTAAACGTCTGTGTAGCTCGTCCCGCCACTCGACTGTCGTAGCTTTGGTTGACTCCAACAGGAGTAGTGCTGGGGTTAATTATATGGGGTTTGTAGTATGAAGTGTGTTAAGACTGTTACTACTGTGAATGGAGTTGATCCTTTCAGCAGTTAGTCTTTCGGTATCGTCGTCAATGGAAAAGAAATAATAATAATAGATATAATTAGTGAAGGTATTCAGACTAACAGATAGAGAAAGAATAAGAAAACGTAACAACAGTCAGTCAACCGGTATACATGTATATATATATATATACCAGTAATAATGATAATGATAATAATAATAATAAAATCGTAGCGGTACGTCCAACGTTTGCGTTACATTTTTGCGTGATTCGTTACATAAAATTTATCTTGTTGTAATCCTTGCACAAGTACTCTACTACTTCCATACCTATAACTATTAACCCTCATATCAAATAGTTATGGTTAACCAAAGTAAAAAGTAGCGAACTCAATCCCCTGCAAAACTGATGACTAATTTTAAGTCGTTGATTGCTACATCAAGCAACACACTTCCTACAAATGGTTATAGTGAGCCACACAACCCACACACACAATCGTAAGCGTCGAGCTGAAACTGAGGATAAAACTGTATTGACAGCTAGTATTAGCACTACTCCCAAAAATTCAGTACCCTCTGCTCACACAGAAACCCTCCCTTCACCTTATGTACTTATCGAAAAGCTCCAGCCTTCAAGCTCTGTTTCAGTACTATCTTCTGAAATAGAACTTCTAAAGTTGTCTATAGGAGAACTTAAGGCCGAGTTAAGGGAAATAAAAAACAAGTCAGTAAATCCTGGAATTTCTGAAACCAACACCAAAATATCCAAATTATCATATCAGATCAGCGATATCAGATCGCAGGTCTGTGAACTGACACCCTTAACTATCCTCATGAAAACTGTAGACCTTAACAAACTTGACACGGAATCGGTATCTAAGGTGGATAACCTCATTAACTTTGTTACTACAGAAGTAACAAAACGACTCGATGCTAAACTAAATGCTATTGTCTACAACGTTCCGGACAATGAGGCACTAAAAAAGGTACAGCGCATCTTACTTAGTGAGGCGAAAATGCCTAACTCCAAGACTAAGTGCTACAGGCTGAAGAAGAGTCAACATGAAAAGTGTTGTCCTATTCGTTTTCAGTTCGAAACACCAGCTGAGGCCAGAAAATTTATCCACTCCCAACACACCCTATCGCAAGCCAGAAATTACAAACTAATAAAGGTTGCGGTGGACAAGACCGTCATAGTAAGGCGCGTATATAATTATCACACTGAGTCTAATTGTGGAATAAACAATAGGACATTGCAAGCAGCAGTTATACCCAACCCTTTGAGAGATACCACAGAATCCACCGCACCACCCCTCTCAAACCACACAGAATTATCTTTTCAGAGAGCGACATCAACCGCAAGGCCACTAAATTGTAATCAAATAGCCAATAAAACTATACCCCCTATCACCGTAGATATAGACATGTCACTAAATAATCCCTGAAAAAAAGTCAAAATCCCCCGAAAGTCGACCCTGCCCTCTCCTAGCCATAAGTCCATTGGAAAAAAAGAAGAATTTGACCCCAAATCATGCCAACATCAACAATGGCAGTATAAGTAAGCCCACATTCCCCACGGTCAATAGTATTGGCACCCACAACGTGCGAAATAGCACCATGGCCCACACTGATAACCAACGCCAAAACAATGCCACCCTCAAGAGTACAAGTGACAAAAGTCAGAACTCGACCACCAACAACTCAGGGCATTCACAGTATGGCACGCAAATAAATTTTGATCGGATATATGGTACAAGTCTGCTGGGAACTAACCCACAAAGCAGTACACACGAAACCCTTAAAAGGGCACAACTAGTACCTAACAATAGGTGGAATAATAAACCATGGTCTTCACAAGGTCCCAATCATTTTTTATCCCCTGCGTCCCTGTCAGCGTTGAAAAAACAGCTGGTAGGGATGCTAACACTCCTAAACCGCTAGTGCTGGCTCCCCCTTTGCATGAATATAGGAACAGTCTAGTTCACCCGCATCCATTAAGCACACTTGGTACATTCACAAGTTTAGGTCAAATAAAGATCCCTACCCCCGTTTCTAGCTTAACTAAAAATAAAAGTGCCTTAGCCTATAGAAAATCCAGTACTCCAACGCTTAATTCTTCACCGAAAACAGCACACACCAACTCGATAGACATAGGTGAGCATGATGTTGAAACTCCTCTTAACATAGGGTCATCATGTCAAACAGTACTGCTGGGTGCTGAACCACATTCGGGGCTGATTAACGAACTTAAATACTTCAAATGCTATTTCAAATCTCATCTT